CCTTCTACAATTACTTTCTGCTTATTGCCTTACCCTTCGGGACTAACAGTGGTTGACTGAAACTGATTTGTTGAAGCATTTGATTTTAATTATTCGTTTAGTTTTTATAATTTATTCTGAAGAGCTCAACTTTATTTTCTTACTGGTTTCCCATTTGGAATGATCTCATTAGGGACTAGTCTAATCTCTAGTTTACAAAATGGACTGGTCCAACGAATTAGACAAGAGATCAAAAGTCAAAACTAGTAAAATCTTAGACCATCTGCAGTCACAATCTGAGCAATCAGATCGTGAATGGGACAAAAAGGATTTTAAAAAATAGAAATAGGGAACCAATTTCTAGCGATCCTTCTCACTAGACAATCCGGGATTGAGCAACCAGAGACGGACCTAATTTTTTTTTTCAAATAGTGGCACCATTTGACTATAGGAAAAAAAATTCAAATGGTGTGACTATAAGAAACAAATATACGGATCTTTTTCAAACGGTGGCATCATTTAAGTAAGAAAATGACACTAATAGGCTTCGAACTAGGATCTGGGGTGGAATAAAAGTTTTGTAAAGCAACTCTACCAAATAAAACATGTTTTCATTGTATTTCAAAATACATATGATGACACAAAATAGATTAATACGGTTACTCCTTTCACGTACCTAAGAAATTTTACCCTTCAACGGAGGAATAATACGGTGGCATGTGCCACCATATGCACCACTATAGGTCCGTCCTTGTGAACAACTTTTGACTAAATGAAATTGACATGTGTCATTTGTTTATTGATTGGTTTATTTTTTTTAAGAAATAAAGTTTATCTAGTTAAAAATGAGTTTAACAAAAATATTAAAAATTAAAAAATATATATATATCAAAACTTATAGTTTTCAACATTATTGATATGTTTTCATACTTACTTTTACGACTTGTCTTATTTAATTTCAATTGTGTGATGAGTTTTCTATAGTTATAATTACGTTTTAAAATATGTAATAATCCGTTTAATTTATTTTTTATATTTAAAATAAAAAACTAAAAATTATATATGATAAAACTAAAATATATATTTTTTATAAAATTATATTTTAGATTGGATTGGATCACGAATAAATGAAACAAGAAGTGAGATTGGGTTGGAGTTAAAGATTTTGTAAATTAATGAGCGAGAAAACAATATTTTAATTGAGATTGGATTGAAAAAAATTATGAGTAAACATAGTCTTATATAAAGCTAAAATGGGTTGTTTGCCTGTCATAATGAAGCTAAAATGGGTTCAACATGCTAAACATAATTTTGTCCTTAGCTTAGTTATTTGGTTACATTCATATTGTTGCAATTCATTTGATTACATGTCAAATATTATTAACTATAATTGTATTTTTACCATCATACAAGTAGAATGAACTCATAATAATAGAAAATGGTCGAAAACAACAAATAGAAATGACATCTTATTTCATTGCAAGACATTACTGTCATTTGTCAATAATGATAATCCAACACTGTTAGCAATAACATTGTATTTATTTTATGCAAGATGGAAAAGAGTATAAGTGCACAAAACAGTTTCCAGTCAAGATGAGACTGGATAGGACTAGACAGGGTTAAACAGGTAAGAGTCAGGTAGACATGTGAAAGAATTGTACAAGGTTTCATGGTTTTTAATTTGACACATGAGTTGTTTAGTGATTTACTAATTTCGACTCATTTTTCTGATTGTTGTCTGACCTATTTTTTATGGACAAAGGAAGCTTATGTTTCTTAAGCAATGATTGTCGATGATCAAGAAAGATATGTTGATATGGTTCATGGTTTTTACAACAGGGATGCAACAGAGGACCCAAAACGTTCGTGTTTCGATTAGGATCGACGGTGAGTCAGTTGGACCGGTTAAGATGGGTTTGAGTTCTAGTTTGGTCCTAATTGTACAATCAAAGTTAGTGAATTGCTCTAGGTTTTGAATACCAAGTTACAATAATAGCCCCTCAACTTAGGTGTAGTATGCATATGCCACCCTAAAATAGAACTAACTTCGTAATATTAACGTTATAAAGCTAATCATGTTTGAAGTTGTAAAGAGTCATAACTTTTTACTTTTAAGTTTTTAATTAATAAAATAAGGAATCTATGAAATAAAATTAAATAAATAAACCAACAAGACAAAGGAAAGAGGGGTTGGTATGGGTTTTTTAGTATTTTAAATCATAATTTTGACGTTTTTGTGCCATGTCTATATTGTAAATGTTAGAAAAAAAATATCGTTTGATAAATTATAATTTATGAATTATCTAAAAAAATTATTTAATCTGGACCCTTAATGCCGCCAATATGTCATGGGGCGTGGGCGATCACCTTTAATCTCAAATTATAATATATATATATATATATATGTGTGTGTGTGTGTGTGTGTGTGAAAGACCGTGTGACAAGTAGAGTTAAAATGAAAAATGTAAGAATGAATTTGGATCTTTGATCATCTTTAATCTCAAATTTACCTATGGATCGCGCTTGGTATGAGAATTGATTAGGTACATCTCATCTTGATGTATCACATCCTAATGCGCATCATATGGTGGGGATCCCTTCTTAGCTATTGTTTCACATATGTTTTATGTTCATATGGTGAAAAAAAATCCATGTGAAACTTTTCTTTCGGTCCAATTAGTGAAACAAAAGATACACAAAAAAGAAGTTTCATAATCTGAAACAAAGACTTGTAAAACTATCATATCATAAAACATATATATGTAAAACAATATCTTAAATTTTAACATTTAATGAAAAAAAATCATGCAAAAAGAATATTTCTTTTAACCGGTTCTCACGAGTTTATAACATTTTTGTGGTTCTAATTTGATTTAACCCGATATAATATAATATAATATATCATCTTTTAATTTTTAATTTAAAACGAGACAAAAAAAGTAAAGTTATTTACCCTGAAGTTAACGGATGTTTTTATCAGGGACTCAACTTATAACAAAATGCAAACAATAGGAACGCTCAATAATTTACTCATTTTTAAATATTTATTATAACTAAAATTTCTGTTAACTTATATAATAAAATTATATTATATTAAAAAAAATTGAATATTCTTTTAATATAATTTAAGGAGTAAAGTACAAATCTGGTCTTTGTCGTTATCTGAAAATTTACAGATTGGTCCATTGTCCTAAATTTTTATAGATAGCATTCGTGTAGCTTCATTATTGTGACATATCAGGTCCTTTGTGCTAACTCCATCAACGCATCTTTGTTAAGTACCTATTTTTTTTTTAATTAAACTGGATATCCAACCCATTATGCTTGCCGACTAATCTCAAGGGGACTACCTATTTTGCAGATAGTCCGGAGTCACCGCATTTGAACCTTCGTGACCACAAGAGAATTTTTGTTCCTCATTTGATTTGAACTTGGGACCTCCAGGTACTTTTGATCTTCGGAGCCAAACGAAATCCATATTGATGCAGCCTCATATCGATGGACAAAATGACACCGGAGATCGATCCATTACCAACCACCCAGACCCACTAACATATGCAGTCCCATATCGATTTACTCCCAAATATACCCACACATCGATTTCTTTGGAACTATCAAAATCGAGGTTCATCCATTTGCTCTTCATCTATGATTCGGTTTATCACCCTATGTGGGTTTGACTGTGTTTGTTGGTGTTCCAAATGGATCTCATCGTTGGAAATGGGGAAGCAATGGTCAGAGATGGGGTAGGGGACGGCGACAACGACAGGGTGTGATTTTCGTTTGGCCGACAATGGTGGTTGGGCCGACGATGAGGGGTGAGTTTGATGTGTAGGGTTTAAGCTCATAATTTTAAACAAATGTCGACTAGGCTTAATTGAATACATACTTTCAATGCTTTAAAAGACATGTCATTGTTAAAACCGAGCTTAATTGTGACACTCATCAAATGCACTCTCATACATATGCCAAGGCCCCTACGCACGGTACACATGAGCTCCACACACACACACATACAACGGATCCTTTTGCCATTCTGGACAATCTTATTGAAGTCCATTAAAACTCGTAATTAATTGTAATCTTTTGGGGTAGCTTAACACATGTCTGCTCTCATATGCCAACAGTTTGAGTTATTAGGCGGTTCGATTAACTTCATAGCCCAATGCGATCACTCAAGACACGCACAAACCACCCCATATGCTCATAGTTATAAAAAGGCTCGTAATTATATAAACCCGTAACCTTTATTTTATAGAAATGTTCAAATACGTTGTAAACGTAGTAATTATCACTTACGATATCCAACAAAACGGATATTGATTCTTTAAGGTTACAATACTACTATATTTATAGGAACAAGTAAGAAATTGTTGCAATTAACCACAAGGACGATGTCTGATTGGTTTGAGTTTGGACTCCAAATATCAAAGTGGCTGGAGGTCTCAAGTTCAAATCTAAGGAGGATTAGTCGGCTCACAAGCGGATTGGATATCAGGTTAATCAAAAAATAAAATTACTTTAATTATCATTAAAATATAATAAAATAAACATGTATTTCTAAAAAAAAATTATACATTTATATATTGCATACATGATTTTTCTATACGTATAGATATAGATACATGAATGATGACATTACCCCATGGAGTTCTCACTATTGAACACAGAGCATTGTCCAGATGGTCTCGAAACCGGTCCACCTGCACTCGCCGGGCACGCCGTTAGCCCCACCGCCGGTGGGACCATGCAATTATAACTCAGACACAACGCCACCCCATCTGGCAACACCACATCCCCTGTCTTCTCCATTGGGAACGACGTTATGTAGTTGTGTTGCAGGTATAGTGTTCTCATCATTCCGGCCATCACATTCTCGACGTAATCCTTCGGAACTTTTCCGGTAAAGTGGTTGCTGTTAAGAAAAAGGGTCTCGACGCCGTCTAGAAAGTCGGGTATTTCGCCGGAGAGGAAGTTGTGGCTGAGATCAATGGTGGATCCTGGACCGTAGGATTCGAAAGATGGCGGTGGTGGTGGGAGGTGGCCGGAGAGATTGTTCCGTTGGAGGTACATTGATGAGAGGGATGATCGGAAGAGTGAATCGGGTATGGGCCCACTGAAGTGGTTCATGCTTAAATCGAGATACACTAAATATGATGATGGTACCGATTGTAGTGGGCCCCACAGACCGTTACTCGATAAGGATAAGTAACGGAGCGTCGCCGGCATCGTTTCCGGCAGCATTCCCGATAGCATATTGTTTCTCAAATCCAAGTGGATGAGTTGTGATTCATTGGAGAATTCCGGGATTTCTCCGGCGAGATCGTTGTATGCGAGGACCAACACTTTGAGGTCCGGTAATCCGGCGGCGAGCGTCGGTGGGATTTCGCCGGTGAGTTTGTTGTGGCTGAGATCTAAAGTGTGGAGGTTTCGGAGCTCCGAGATAGTCTCCGGGATGGTTCCGGTAAGGCGGTTATTGGTGAGCGATAGGACACGGAGGTTTTTGAGGTGGTGGCCGAGTTGAGACGGGATGAATCCGGTGACGATTCCGGGGTAGAGAATGAGCTGAGTCAACTCAGTGAGATCATAGATCCCAGGGGCGAAGATTGTACCGGAGAGTCCAGGTGAATCGGAGAGTCCGGTACCGAGAAAGAGAGAGGTGATTCGTAACTGACCATTAATGGCGGAGCAGGTGACGCCGGTGAAGGTAGAACAAGGGTTTTCCGGCGAGGTGAAGTTCCAAGTGGAAAAGAATCCGCCATTGTTGACGTCGGTGAGGGTGTCCATGATCTGACGAAGGGCATTAAGATCATGGAGAGCGAGTTTTTGTTGGGTTGTCGGAGACATGGAAAGAAGAAGTGTAACAGAGAATGTAAGGAGTTGTCGTCGGAAAATGTTACAGAACTCCATTTCCGTTTCCGTTTCCGGCGAAGAGACAGAGAGTTCGTCTGTGGTATTATAAGATGTCAAAGTGAACGTTTGTCTCTTGGGTCAAAATTGAAAATGGTAAATGGAGAGCCACATATTTTAGTTTTGGAAATAAACCAAATTCCAAATGTATATATAGCAGTAGTATTTTTAAAATCACATTTTTTTTTATTTTGTATATATAATAAAAATGTTTAATTAATATATATTAAAATTTTCAATTAAAAAAAAAAATTCATGAGCTACTCCTCCGTCAGGACACTGTTGCATCGCCCATGGGGCGGGGGGCTGGTTATTCCTAGCCAACAATTGGCTCTCGGATTTCGTCCTACAACTAAAATAACATCGGTTCATAATAAGTTATTATTATCTACTAAAAAAGTATTCGTGCAATGCAGCGAGATACATCTTGATTTTAATTTTCTATTTTATTATTTATTTCTTTCGATGTTATAATACGATTTTATGTGTTTTTAAGAAAGCATTAATGATTTTATTTTTAAATAAAATATAAATTTGAAGAGATCATAAAAATTTGAAAAAATATATATATTAATGTTAATATCAAATCAACTATTTAAAAATTTCATTTTTTATGTAATTTTTTTAATTAATATATTATTATTATTATTTAATTTAAGTTTAATAATGAAATAATTTATTTTTGGTTTAATAATATAACATTTTATAATAATAATAATAATTAAGTATTCTGTTAGAACTCAATGATTATCCTAATTATATTTCAGATTTTTTATATTTAAAATTAGATGTTTATCCTGTATTTAATTATGTTTATATGCAGTTAGTTACACGAATTCAGATATGGAGCTTTAATAAGTTGTACTTACGCATAATCTACTTGCAATCTTGAGTTTTAAGTAATATGCATTAATAAACAGTACTTTACGCATAAAAAGTAGTTTTTAAGAGTTTTTGTCAAATGTTTTATAATATAGTGTAGATTATATTATAAAACCTAAATTAAATTACTTCATTACGTTAAATTAAAATATAATAAAAATTTTGAATTAAAGAAATTACAAAAAATTAAAACTTTTAAACAATTAATTCGATACTTATATTGATATATATTTTTTTTCAAATTTTTATAATTTTTTCAAATTTATATCTTATTCAAAAATAAAAACATTATCATTTTCTCAAAACCACATAAAATTGTATTATATCGACATAGATAAAGAACAAAATGAAACATTGAAATCAAGATGTGTCTCGATGCATTGCACGAGTACCTTTCTAGTATTATAAAGCATTTGACAAAAACTCTTAAAAATCATTTTTTATGCATGAAGTACTGTGTATTAATGCATATTACTTAAAATTTAAAATTACAAGTAGATTGTGCGTAAGTACAATTTATTAAAGCTTCTTTTTTAAATTCGTATAACTAACTGCAGATAAACATAATCAAATACAAAATAAATATCTCATTTTAAATATAAAAAATCTAAAATATAATTAGAATAATCATTGAGTTCTAACAGAATCATTATCTTTATAAAATTTTATTGTTAAGCCAAAAATAAATTACTTCACTAAATCGTAAAAACATTATATTTTTCAAAACCACATAAATCATATTATATCACTAAAGACAAAATAAAAACGAAACATTAAAATGAAGATATATATCGTTGCATTGTGCGAGTACCATTTTATTTATATTATAAAGTATTTGACAAAAACTCTTAAAAACTATTTGTTATGCATGAAGTACTATTTATTGATACATATTATTTAAAAAATCAAGATTACAAGTAAATTTTGCGTAAGTACAACTTATTAAATCTTCATATTTGAATTCGTGTAACTAACTGCAGAATAAGCATCTCATTTTAAATTAAAAAATCAAAAATATAATTAAGATAATTATTAGGTTCTAACAAAATACTTAATTATTATATTTATAAAAAAAATTATATTATTAAAAAAATGAATTAAAGAAATACACAAAAAAAAAAATTTAAAGTCATTTTGGTATTAATATCAATATTTTTTATAACATCGACCGACACAAAGAAAAAAATGAAACATTAAAATTAAAATATATTTTGCTGCATTGTGTAAATATTATTCTAGTTATTATATAAAAAATATAAGGTATTATTTGGTTTCATTAATATTTGTTAGAATTAAAATTATCTTATTGTTTGTTATAAGTTAAAAACATACATTTAATAAGTATTTTGAATGACAAAATAATTTCATAGATACATATGATATTTATATTATATTTGTTGGGTCACCTATTGATTTGGTGATGACCCACTGATCTGTTCCTCTACCTTAGCAACACTTAGTAGTTATTGGTTCTTTGTATATTGGTGTCTTGGTACATACTTAAAGCCATTGGCAAAATCGAAGACCAACCGATGTGAAGACAGAAGGTCACCGATGTGGTGTTGTGAATCAACTGTCTAATATACACACCAAGACTCCGAAGTAGCTGAAATGCATATTGAAAATATTTTGAAGCTACAAGCCGATTGAAGGAAGATATTCATAGACCGAAGATTGAAAATCTTCATGGACTCAAGATTGAAGATCATGGATCGAAGATTGAAAATCTTCATGAACTCAAGATTGAAGATCATGGACCGAAGATTTGTGAGTAGCTGCTTGAAGCTACATATCCATCCAAAGGAGATCTTCCTACAGACTGACCATATCTCTACAAAGTTTGTCTTTGCATGAACTGTGTTGTATGCACGCTATGTACGATGAAAATGAGATATCAACATTGGTCAAGTCAACCCATGCCTTCTTATCCTCAAGTGACAAGTGTCCCCATGCATTAAATGCTGAAGGTAGTATAAAAAGGCAATGTGCATCTCTCATGCATACAACTGGCTTTTGCAAGATTACTTAGTGAATTCTAAAAGCAATCGGCTATTCTCTTTTACTCCCTTGCTCTCCTGTGTGCGAAGAAATTCTTAGTGTTCTTCATTTCTTTTCAAGAAATCTCTGTGTTGTTCTTGAAAGTTCTTCTCCTTGTAAGATTGTTTAGGTTAGGTTTTCCTTTCCTATCTTCCGCAACAATCTTTTGTATTTCTGTGTGTATTAATTCTTGATATAAATCAATAAGAATTAAAAAGTTAAAAAAAAGTCTGTGTAATTGTATTCAACCCCCTTCTACAATTACTTTCTGCTTATTGTCATTCCCTTCGGGACTAACAATATTATATAAAAATTTGATCCAGAATGTTATATTTTTAATATAAATTATGTACCTCAGAATAAATAATCACCGAGTTTACTTTTTTGTATGGTAAATATAAATGAGTCATCTATTTTGAGACTGAAAATCTTGCTTTCAAGACCTCGCAAATGCATTCAGTGGCAATTCTAAGTTATACATGTATGTGAACCAGATAAGTGCATAACGATTGGAACTGGATTTTGAGAGGAAGTCATTCGTCTAGGAATAGTGAACCAGATAGATAATTAAACAAATAATCAATTGTTCTTGTTTCTACTTAATTCAATTGTTACTGTTTCTTTTGCGTTAACTTATCATATAACATTAATCTGGTTGTGTGTTAAAGTTATTTCTATTATATTTTATAAGGCGTCTAATGTCATGGGCAAATCTCTCTGTTATATTCCTATTCGTTTATAAGCTAAGACCCTATATTTATTATTTTGTTAAGTATAATTTTGTTACAATTTATGTGTTGTGTTAAGGAGAGTTAAGGTAAGAAGCGTAAGAAAAGATCTGTACCCTTGATCACCTTTAATCTCAAAACTCACCCTTGAATCGCGTTTGATATGAGAATTGATCTGGTACATCTCGTCATAATGTGCATCTAACGGTGAAGATTCATTCTTACGTTTTTCACCTTAACTCTCATTCTTATCGGATCCCAATCCTCCTAGTTAAATTAGGCTTATATATAGCATCCTCTATGCACAAGAGATTTCCATATCTCTTTGTTTTAGCAGATGTTATTTAGGGGCCGTTTACCAAACATTTATCCGGTAAGTGCTTACCGGTAAATTTAACATTATCTTTTACTTACCGGTAAGATTTTAGTCTAATAAAACGACAACATATGCAATAATTTACCCGGTAAGTGCTTACCATGGTAAAAGTCGTCGCCCTCACTTACCGGGTAAGACTCTTGGTCATTGTGCCGCTCTTACCGAGTAAGTTCTTGGTCCTTGTCTTGCTATTACCGGGTAAATTCTTGGTCCTTACCATGTTCATCAAGTAAGGTAATATGACTTGGTAAGCGCTTACCCGAACAAGCGTTTAGTAAACGGCCCCTTAATCACATTAATGCTTTCTATACCTAAAAAAGTTATTCATAAACTAATAACGAGAGTTGAAAACATACCTGAATACACAAACTTTCCTTTTCTTTGCCACAAAAATTTAACCATGAGCTTAATTATTAAGCCATAAACAAAAACAATGAGTAATTGATTAAGCACAAGGATCAATTTGAAGTATAATACTCCAATTCCTCATTTCTGTCTTTATTTAACAGGTGTTGTTAATGACATTTCTCGATAAATCAATGACACAATGGCCTCATTGTCAACACGAAGTTCATGGTAAACAACGTCTACACGTCAAACGCTTGTAATCACATGATCAAACATGAGTTTAACATACAAACTTACGTACTAAAGTTCCTCTCCAACATCACTATTTTCATCTTCAGTAAACACAAATCCTCAATTTTCCTTTAATGACTAATCAACTTATGAACTTATTTTGCATAATTACACTTTCAGTCATTGTCTTTGTCTTCATCAACATCTGATATGATTATATGTGCTATGGATTCAGGCATTTAATGAGCTACTGCCCGTTTATTTCAAACTCAGGTATATATATCGAACACAAAATACAATTTGTGTAACTTAACAAGTCAAGTTCCATAACGTCAATGCATGATTCTGCTCATTCAAATTAAAGTTGGTTTCGATGTGCGTTTCAAAGTGATTATCAT